TTTTAGAACGTTGGTGTTCATACCGAAAGATGCTTTACTGCGATACCTCGCGGTCTACATGGAGGTTTTGCGCGATGCCTGCGGAGAAACAAAATAGTTTGTTTTTCCTTGCGGTCTACATCGATGTAGCGATGTGGACTCGGCTCTGATTGGTTGAATTAGCTTACGCCACCTCAAGCGGTAGCGTATACACGCGTTACTTCGGTGTAGTGTTTTGGCGTGTTTACTATTTGTAGGTACTTTGCTTAAGAAATGGATGTTAAAAAGCACAATTTAATTGAATTAGTTTTTAATGTTCCTCCGTTGTGGGATAAGCGGCACAAGCAACACCATAATAGGTATACTCTGGCCAAGGAATGGAAGAAGATTGGAGCTGAACTCGAGATGACCGGTAAGTTTTACTTATGTAATTATTTATTTATTTATTTATTCTAAAAAGAAGATGTAGGTCTTAAGTTAATTCTATTATATTAAAAAAGAGTATAATGAATACAAATTATAATTATCATTATTTATTAGTAATCAGTTATTAAGCATTAAGGGAAAAATATTCAGCGAATGTATCTCGTACTGTTTTCGCGTTCCGCGTTGAAGGATTGTTTGCTCTATTACGTCGGAGCATACACTGGGAAGGAATTTGTGGGACGTCCATGCCATTAAAACTGTGATGGCCCTCCTTATCAATTATTGTGTTGTGAAGAATGCATATCGTCTTGATCACAGTATCTACTGCTGTTTCTTTGATTTCAATAACCCCCGACAACAATCGCCATTTTGAAAAAATAACGCCAAATGCACATTCGATAGTTTTGCGAGCCCGTGACAATCGCTTGTTAAAATTTTCCTGCGTTGCTGTCAGTGTACCTGAATAAGGTTTCATTAGATTTTCCTTCAAAGGGTAGGCTTCATCGGCGATGAACACATATGGTAGAGTATAGTCACTACTGGGGAGTTTTCTGTGCGATGGTATTCCCAATTTATTATTTTCCAACAGTTTCGATAAGGTAGATGCACTGAAGGTACCTCCATCACTCTGCTTTCCGTAACCTCCTACGTCGATAGATATGAACCTATAGTGACCGTCAACTAATCCTTGCAAAACTATTGAAAAATACGATTTGTAGTTGTAGAACATCGAGCCGGAGTGAGCTGGGCACTTTATTCTGACATGTTTCCCATCCAAAGAACCAATGCAATTGGGAAAATCCCACAGTCTTTCAAACTCCTCTGCAGCACATAAAAAGTACGACGTTGTAGGTGCTCTCATGTGAATAGGTTGTAGTCTTGTCCAAAGAATGTTGCATACTTGGTAAACGATTTTGCTAACGGTAGAAGCTCCCATTCTAAAAGAAAAAGCCAATGTTCTGAAGCTGCTTCCCGTAGCGAGATACCTGCAAATTAATCAAAACGAAGTGTTATAAACAATTTCAAATTTTTACAATGAGATAAAGTTCGTTCGATAAATCTTAAGTTAGTTTTATTATACTTACTTTTAGTTTTATTTATTATATTTTTATGTTCACATTTCCAATTTCTACGAATTTTGTTAATTTATTAAATTGTTACAGTTACGGAGGTAAAATCTCGGTGGAAAAACCTTAGACAGGAGTTCGGTAAACAATTTAAAAAGTACCAGGGAAGGTCTGGTGATGGAGCACCGGAGGAAGCTGCAAGTCAATGGCCGTTCTTCCAAAAATTACAATTTTTAAAAGATCAATTTACCCCCCGGAATTCATCGGGAAATTTAACACGGCCTGAAAATACTGAAGAAACTGAAAATACTCAAAATACTGAAAATACTGAAGAGGTCAGTGACAGTGACGATGTCGATGAGGAGCGAGATATCCGTCAGGAGAGTGTGGATAGTGTATTCAGTTCACACGGTCTGGAGTCTACTTCTGATCGACAGCCCTTTCTTCAAACGCCGACATCTTTATCCAGTGAGCCTCAGTCAGTCTCAAGAACTGGATACAGAAAACGATTAACAGCACAAGCTATAATTGGAAAAGAATTGCTGTCTCTAGAAACACAGAAACTAGAGTTGGCAAAAAAAAGAAAAATTCAAAACGTTAATGACGAAGATATTGGTTTTTTTAATTCACTATTACCAACTGTGAAAAAACTGACTGATAAAGATAAATTCATTTTTCGAATGAAGGTGCAGAAGACACTCTTCGAACTTGCATTTCCAGAAACGGAAAATCCAAAAGTGTCAAATGCAAAACCTTCTACTACCGTACAAACGTCTACTTCGCGACATAATCAAATTACTCAGGAAGAAACAATAATTCAACAGGAATCTGATACTTATACAACAGATTATACAATCTTGGAACTTTAATCCTTTTTTTAAGTATTTTTTTTAAGTTTAGTATTTTTGTATTTGTTTAGTTTCAATACAGTTATTTTGTAATAAATACCTACGCATACTTTGATTGTTGTTTCATGTACTAAATTGCAAAAGGACGTTATTTGATAAAGTTCAACTTACCTTAAAGTCAGCACCAGTCTTTCCTCAGCCAGAATTGGATTGGTATGTAAGTTGTTATATTCCAAGACATCCAGTTCAGACTCAATTTTATTGAGTATATAATTAAATTAAAAACATCGAGGTATCGCAGTGAAGGTGCAAGGTAGCGAGGTATCGCAGTAGAGCATCTTCGGCATGTTCTTACCCTTAGTCGCTCCACAAAAACCGACAGATATCGAATATGACAAATTAATCACAATTTTGGGAAAACACCTGTCACCAGAACGCAACATGTTAGTTGCCCAACATTTATTTCTATCCGAAGTTCAATCCCATAAACAATCAATTATCGAATATGTACAACAAAACTTAAAAGCGCATGTAAATTTCGATATAAATGTACGTGCGAAATAGATGTTTCCACTGCCGATATGTTTCTACGCATTCAATTTATTCGTGGAATTAAACGTAGCTGGATAATGGAGCAGCTTCTGCAATCGGATCGTACGGATTTCAACCAAATTGACAAAAAGCCATTGCACTGGAGGCAGCAATACTGCATGAGACTCTGGTTTATTTAACGAGTCCTGGAATGAATTGAAATGTATTGTAGTGCAGTAACATAAGACTGGCAATTCAAAACTTGGAAATAGGCGAAATTTTAATAAATCTACTACAGTTAGGTCTGATTGAATATTTTCAAGGGTATGTACTAAATAGAGGCAAAAAATGCAACACAAAAATTGAATAAAAATGAACATTTTAGTCTAGTACAAGAAATGCACATAACTCCTCTCGGGTTGCAACACGAGAAAGTTGGAAAATGGGAAAAAACAATAAAATAAACATATGGGTAAGACAAGACAAACCCTATGCTGCTCCTGGTTTTATGATCTGGATAACCGACTCCGTGCTAGCAAATGGTCGTGGGGTTAACGTTGGGTGTCCAGGGCGCCAAGAGCGATAAATCCTTAATTTGGAGACCCAGTATACGTACAAAACTTGTTTCCGCTCTAAAAACAATATTTAGGAAGGAACTGTAAGGGTTAAAACATCAAATAATAAAGTGCAAGAAGGGGGTGTTTGTATTAATTGAAAGATTAGAATTTCAAGGTTACATGTATGTGGAAAATAACTACTTATTCGTTAACCGTCTGTTCTAGTTTTTTTAAATATTTCAGGATAACATTTATTGATGGTAGCGAACGCTTTTAACAAGGTTTCAAATGAGAATGATGCAGGGTTTATTTTACGCAAGGGCTCAGGGTGACGTCAGAAAGGCCTTCCCTAGGTCGGTGATACCCGTATCTGTACCTAACCTAGGGTACGTGACTACTAAAACGGGGTGGAATTGTTAATCGCTATACAAATCGGTGAAAAATGAATAGTTATGATGTTCAAAAGTAGTTCTAATGATTAGACGGATTTTGTTTATGTTTCTACATAACCCCAATAAAATAATAATTTTTACATGTAGCTGAAGGCTTTTGAAATATTGAAAGGTAAGTAATTAAGTAAGTAAACAGATCCAATAGTCACAATTTTATACAGTTACAGTTTGGATAAATCGATGACTTCACAGGGAACAAATGGACGACACAAACGGAATGCTCTGACCTGGAAGTTGAGTGGACGTTCCAGTCTCGACACAGGGAACTCGTGGCTGTTGTTCTCCACTTGGTGATGATTGTCCGCAGCAAAATTCTCAATCCGGTGACAGGCCAGTTCAGAGACGATACATTGACAATAGGACAAAAAGTAGACGTAAAAAGAAAAGAAGCTAAAATAGATTCGACCATTACGATAAGTTTTACATATGTAATAATTACCTCGAAGATGTTTCGAGCTTCTCAAGTAAACCGAATGGTTTGTACGATTTTTGTGTCCGCCGAAGCGATGCTGTTCAATACCGTACTCCAAAATACTTCAATAACTTAGGTAAGAACTTATTCAACAGTGCACTCATATATCCTCAAAATTTGAGATTTGCAATGGCTTTTTAGAGTGGCTACTGGAATCGTACCATGCTCACACGAAGCTATCAGAAGACAGAATGGCCGAAACCAGGAAATGTACAAGAAGAAAATCAAGTTCCAACAATGTGACAGGAAGAGAAGAAAATATCAGAAATAAGTCAATAGGTCAAGTACAAACAATAAATAAGTAAACAAGACTATAGGCAACACATAAGACATACAAGGATTTAATTAACGTTACAGGGTGCGTGGTACCTGCTTGCCTGAGAGATCAGTAAATACTAAGTCCATATATTGGTTACATAGGATAATTTGAAAATGGATCTAGTAAGGGTCTAATCATGAAATGTAGTCAATTTTAGTATCTTACCTTTCTATATCCTCGTTCGATTAAGAGATAATGGATTAGTAATTGAATAAACTCATTCACTTGTTGGACACAGCACTGCACGTGGGCACCGCAATGCACGAAACTGGACTTACACGTTTTACGTATTGGTTTGGAGCAACTCGGGACTTACGCATATTACTAAATAGTAAATTGCGCGGCAATTCATATTCTGCAGTTACTGGGATTTCTTCCACGTGTTAATTGAGTTTTCTCTCAAGAGATGTCGTAGAAAGCGCAATTTGCTCCTTCGTTCGACGGTTGTCGAAGTCACATCCGAACTTGAGCCACCTCTCATTTCTTCACTTCTGATGGCACAATGGCTGGAATGTTCACATTACTTAACACTTTAATACACTTTTTTTTTAAATTTTTATCGCGTGCCAAATTCAATATTCGTTTAGTTCTATTCGACATAATAACTTTTTTCGCAGTGATCACTTTGCCAAGATTTCGTTGCTTAAGTAAAATAAGTTACGTTATTTATTTATTTGTTTGACTTTTTGCCAAACTAACTACCGAACCTGTCCTAATATATGGTACGTAAAAGTCAAAATCGCAAATTTGGCGTATTCGCCCTTTAAGAAAAACACCATCGATATATCGTTTTGCAATCGACCACCTTCTCGTCCTTTGGTCTTGCTACCAATTCCCAAACTTCATTTTTAGCCATTGACTGCATTTCCTCCACCATTGCCTTTTTTCATTTCTCTTTACCTTTCCCATTCATTGCCCTTTCATAATTTTCTGGTTCATCTTCTGAAATTGAAATAAAAGAACCTACTATAATTATAGTCACTGAATCGTTCTGGAAGCCTTCTTTGTCTCTCCGGTCTAGTGATTTCTTCTTCCTTTACATCACTAACTACATTAATCATGAAATATGAATTACACGTGTAGACCCCGCCCGGTCGCATCGGAAGTCCCCGTTACTTCCTGTTGTCCGTGTCCACTGCGCAGCCATTCGTAGTGTTGCCATCACATACAAAACGTCATTAGCGCCTGAATTATTTTTTTCTAAATTCTAAAGAAATTTTTACTATATTTGGCTACTATACCTTTCAATAAAATATTTAAATGCCTTCAGTTGACGTTTTTTTGTTTCATTGCGGAAAAAAACAGTGTTACTTTAAGTAACGCTAGGCTCATGAGGAGTCAAAGATAGAAATTTTGTTAACAGTGAAATTATTTATTGTGGAAATGGCAAAAACATTCTGTGCAAAGTCCAACATCACACTTTTTGCACATTGTCCTTGTGCTTGAGTCGCATCCCTCTCCTGCGCATCTTCTCCTTTTTTTTGTTTGGAATAAATACAACCAGATGGTCTATACGGTCGTACCGTAGATAATCGGACACTCGGTTGAAACTAACGCTAGATTTTGAAGTTGATGGTCTTCCAGGACCTTTAGGTGGTATGCCATAAGTTTGGAGATACTGTGTAGCTATTTCTCGGCGAAAAGCGAGTTGTATAAGTGAACCGCCAGATTTCTTATGTAGCTGCTATGAACGGAGATGTCTAGTAACCAGGAGAAAATAGGCCACCACCATTTTTTGCTTCTTACACCAATCCTGTAGCGGTTCACATTTTCATCCATCAAATCTGTGCCTCCCATTGAGGCATTATATTTGCTAAGATTTGGCATTGGGACAGATATGATTGATTTCGTGGCTTGTGAGTAGCGTTTCACATTGCTGACTGGTGAGATTCCAAAGTAGGTAGATCCTACAGTAACTACTCCATTATCTACCCACTTTACAATTGCAATTCCATCGTTGTGTAAAATTGCAGATTCTGTTGTCCCCCTTGACCAAAGTTTTTTTATCGGCCAAAGGGCAGGTTTTGGGCAGACGATTATCTCCCATAGTACCCGTTCCACTGTAACCCCTTTGTTTTAAATGTATCAGTACATTTTAGTCCAGGGAACAGAGGGTTTTAGCATGCAAAATGAGAAGTAGTTCCAATTTCTTTTGCATGTCATAGACAGTCATCTGGTGGTTGAGAATCTAAGTTTTCGACCTCCCACCCCTTGTGCTTCCCCCGTACCACCCCCAAAACCCCTGAAATTTGGTTGGTTTCTTAGTTTTTCAAGCATATCTTTTTAATAGTTCACTTTAGAAAAAAATATTGTTATCAGAAATTGTAGACCATAAAATTCTACACAACTTTGATATACACTACTTTTTTGTGAAATGTTTATTAAAAAAGATATAGAGCTTGAGAGTTGGTTATATTTTTAAGAATTCTGAAATTTCTATGTAGGTGTTTTAATCAAATTTCATACTTTTACACTATAATTAAGAGTTTTATGAGAAAATATCTTGAATTTATCGTGGTATAAATCCCTCTACTCCTGCACCCTTACCAAAGGGGATGCATAATAATGAAACTTGCAACCCTTGCTAGTGAGGATATTTGAATTACTGTGAGATTATAGCCCTTTCTAATATACTTTTGAAATGAAAAAATTGTCTCACTTCAGTTCAGTTTAACCCCCCTCCCCCTCTC